GAGCGTGTCCCGTTCTCTGGGCCTCAACGCCCGGCTGTGGGCGAACGCGACTGTCAGCGGGCGCTTCCCCGTGGCCACCGGCAAGCGAGGGCCTGTGTGGACCCCACGGGGGGCGTTTGTTAACGATCCCGGTCCGGTTTCTTCCCCTCCTGCAGAACTTGAAGAAGAGCTGGCACCCGCAGACCCTGCGCAATGTGGAGAAGGTGTGGAAAGCCGAGCAGAAGCATGAGGCCGAGCGGAAGAAGATCGAGGAGCTGCAGCGGGAGCTGCAGGAGGAGCGAGCGCGTGAGGAGATGCAGCGCTACGCTGAGGACATGGGCACTGTCAGGTGAGGTGATGCTGGGGCCCCCCACACCGGGGTTAACAGCCCCTGCAATCCTCTGGGGTTAAGCATGGCTTGCTGAGGTGATGTGGGTGCTCCTGGTGCCCACGAGAGCTGTGGGTTTAATGTCTCTGATGCTAAAACGTTTCCACTCGCCTTTGTAAGCCAGTTCCTTAAAACATAACTTAAGAGCTGTGAGAAGGGAAATAAGATGGGCTTTTTTGCAACAGGAAAAGAGAAGAGAAGTTGGAGTGGATGTACCAGGGTCCTGGAGGCATGGTGAACAGAGAGGAGTATCTCATGGGTCGCCCTGTGGACAAATACGTCTTTGAGAAGGCAGAAGACAAGGATGCCGGCTGTTCCAATGAGACAGGACTTCTTCCAGGCTCCATTTTTGCCAAGTCTGGGGCCAATTCAGTCCTAGACATGGCGAACAAAATCCGTGAGGATCCACTTTTCATGATAAGGTACTGAGTATGGAGCTGAAGGCGGTAATAGAACAGGCAAAGCATCAATAGTAGCAGCTCGTTACAAACTGTCTTATTTAATTTGGTAAAGACTGGTATTATGTCTGTTCCTCAAAGCTACATCTGCATGTGGGTGAGCTCTGGGCTGCAGTCCTGGACACCGAACAGTCACCAACCACGTACATAGGATTTTGGTTGTGTGTTCTAGACACCACAGTGTAACATCAGACATTGTGTTTGAGTCAGTTTGCTGCTTTTGGATGCTTCTGATGACTTGGTTTCAAATGTGTAGGTGAACACATCTGATCTGCTCTGAGAGTTCAGGCACTCAGTAGTGCTGTGGACAGATTGATGGTAGCAGAACACATTTTTATTTACCCTGCTAGTCCCACTCTTAAGTGGAGAAGAAAAGGACAGACTCCTTAGGAGTCTTCCTGCTTTATGTGTTTATAGAGCTTGCACTTCATTGGTATATTTCATGAAAATATGACATGGTCAGTTGTTTGAAAAGACTATTTTTTTCTGCTTTAGAAAGAAGGAGGAGGAAAAGAAGAGAGACGTTTTGAACAATCCTGTTAAAATGAAGAAAATCAAAGAATTGGTAGGTGTATCTCACTACTCCTTTACAGACTCAAAGCACAGAATGCACCAAACCCAGGAGAAGATCACAGGTTAAAATTAGCATTGTTTAGGATGAGGAACTGAGTTCTGCTTTCTGACTCTTTCGCAGAAAAACAGAATAGAATGAGCTTTCTGTAATCCTGATCTAAAGAACAAAGTTCTGTATT